TTGAGCCTAGCAAATCCTGAGTGAGGGGCTGGAACTAAGGGTAAGAAGTGCTTGGCTGACAGTCAGTGCTTGCTTTTGTGGTATGCAGAGGGAGATACCTAGGTCACTGCTGTCCTTTAATCATTAAGGAGCTTGAGATCTTGTACAAGACAACAGCTGGCCTGTTACAGTGGCTTTCTCTTCCTTCAATACTGGGTGCTTTTGGTTTTGTTTTCCATTTCTGCAGATTTTATAGCAGTGCTCCCTTCCTCATCTTACAGAACATGAAGTAAAGCAGGAGGATGAAAATGCTGATGAGCTGTCTAATAGCAGCAGAAAGTTAAGAGCATGTTTTGTGCCTGTGTGTCATAGGTGTGGTTCATTAAAGGTCAGAATGAGTGAAGTGGTAGGACACATACAAAGTAGATGTAGGTCACTATGGTCTCAAACCTCCACCCATCTTCAAAAGGAATCTTGTCCTCCTGTGGCTGCATGACTTCACAGCAGCTACTTTCTGCCATCCCTAGCTCCCAGGAATAGCTGATCAGGATCCTGCTCTTTGGCAAGAATCTGCATTTCCAGATTTGTTTATAAACTGGAAAAATCTACAAATTGTAGACCATCTGTATAAAACACTATTCGAACAAATCTGCACTCATTATCTCCCTGTAACTAGTTTCTTCACACATTCCTACAGGGAATCATCCATCCAAACCTAGTAAGCAGAAAACAGATTAGAAGTCATTTGATCCTCTGCAGGATGAATGCTGTCAACAACCTTCAGAAACATTACATTTCTGTCAAGATGACCTATTAACCTAGGGTCATTTGGTCACAATTGACCCCACAATGCTAATTAGAAAAATTTGTACTGATTTTGTTAAGAGTTGAATTAAACATATCCATTTTGGTGACTTCTCATAAAAATAATTTCTGAACCCAGATAAAGCATACCATTATCATACGTGTACATTGATCTGTGCTCTTTTGGGTTCTGTTATGCTTGTGGGCCACTTCTATGAGGAAGCCATGACAGTGGCAGTGGCATGCAATCTACTGGGAAACCTGGAAAACAGGTGGAAAGAAAGAGAGCTAGCGTTAGGGAGTAGTATGTGTACTTCTGTAATGATAAGGGGACAAATCTACATCAAGCATGTGGGTATGTGTTGTTGGGCCCTCATGGCTAATGTTGAAAATATGACATGGAAAACACGTGCCCCTGGCTTCTTGTGAAAAGTAGAATCTACAGCTGGGTGCTAGAGGCTCAGGTCTGTAATTCATCCATTCAGGAGGATGAGAGAGGATTATGGTATGAATTCAATCTGGCAGAGAAGTGTGAAAGAGTTTAAAATAACCAGCCAAATGCTTGGCTAGTTGCTTGGTTCAAGTGGTAGAATGCTAAGGGAAGGAAGGAAGGAGGGAAGGAGGGAAGGAAGGAAGGAAGGAAGGAAGAGAGGAAGGAAGGGAAGGAGGAAGGGAGGGAAGGAGGGAGGGAAAGGAATAGGAAAGGAAAGGAAAAGACTAGGAAAGGAAAAGGAAAGGGAAGGAAAGGAGGAAAAAGAACATAGAATCTCTGGTCCCAGTAGGTTACTATTTCTGGTGGTGACAATGGGCCTTGACCACAGCCATTTGCACAGACCTGTGGTCCTTGTTTACCTTCGTTTCCACTTCCAGGAATCCTGACATTGGAGCTGAGTACTATGTATTCCCTAAGACCAGTTTAAGGCATTACCATAGGAAAGATTAATAAGTAAATATGAGTTCTTGTCAATTTTCATTACAGTAGCCTGATTTTTTTAAAGAAGATTCATCTGTGAAATTCAAGAAAACAAAAGAAGATAGAAGGTGGTACAGCTTTTAAAGAAAGTGAGCATGAGCTCATTCCTTCAGGGAAATGAAACACAGTCATCTCTGATCTTTAATAGACAGGCCAGGCACAAGGCTATGTTTATTACCTTGAGTGATGTCGCACTAATTTATGTGAGGACATAGTAGTTTGTAGCTGCTGGTGTAAAGAATGTGGTGGTGGGGGGATGTCTATTTATTATAGTATTCTAGATTAGGAGCACTTAGCTTATCAGAAATGGTTTAGACTTTCTCTAAGTAAAAAAAGCATAAATCTAAGCACATTCTGTCACTTATAAGCACAGAAATTCTGTCACTTATAAGCACAGATTTCCTCCTAAAGATCTTGTCTCTGTTACACAAATAAACTATTAGGTTACAACATTAATAGGAAAAAAACCACACCTCACGGTGAAGAGTCTGCTAAGGTGTCATGGTTTACAGACATAGTTGAATTGGTTTCATGATACCACAACCACCAAACGCATCTAAACATACTTGGAAACCTAGAAGCAGGCTGTGGTATATGTGCAAGGAGCTTATGGGTGGGCAGGACCAGCTCGCCCATCATGGACACAGGGAATGACATGGGTAATCTTCTCTAGGCTTCTGGACCTGGTTATATGACCAAGTTTGTGCCCTGTAGGGTGCCTCCTTCTGCACCCATCAAACAGTTTTTCTCGTTGATTGACTTTCCTCTCCAGGCTTTCCGATAAGCTTTGAACTAATGAAAACTTCTGTGGATAAGGATAAATTTGAAAGTTGCTATTCTACAAAGCAAATAGAAAAGGGATCTTTTTAATTCAAAATGCTTTTTTCATATTCCTAATACTTTTCCTTGAATGTACCAAGTAGGATGAAAAGTGGAGTTACCACTGACAACTCAATGAACATGCTGTGCTTTCTTCTAATCTCTGCGTTAGTACTAGGGTTTCATCTTAAGCCTCATGCTTGCGTAACAAGTGTTCTACCAGTTGATCCATACACATAGTTGCTTGAGTTTAGGTAGACTGTCACTTTTGCCTGGGCCAGCCTCAGACTCATATCCTCCTACCTCTGTCTCCCCTATACCTAGAATTACAAATGTAGGTAACAAATAAGTCCAGCCTGTTTGCTGAGATGGAGTCATGCTAACCTTTTTCTAGGGCTGAAATTAAATCCTCACCCTGCTGTTGCCTCCAGAGTAGCTGGGATTATAGTCATGCAAATACCTGACCTAGTTCATCCAATCTTTATAAATGTGTATGTGTTTGTGATTGATATTTTTGTTTGACAAACTGTGATAACACTAAGCATTTGATTTTGCCTTTTAACTCTGACCTTTTTTTTTAAGCATGCTATATGTTTATACTAGTTGAAATCTTAAATTTAATGCCTATATAATCCTCAATTGCACTATTGAGTCATGATTTGTTTTTAACAAAGCTTGATTATTTGGCATACTTTTCTTCCTATCTTTCTGGGTTCTTCTTTTCTTGTTAAAACAAGTGGCTAAATCCCCACTTTCATACCTGAAAGTTTGCTAAACAAGGTGATAATGACAAACAAGTACATTAGACATAGGTACTACTGCTTTAAGACTGCAGGTAGAGATTCACATTTAGGTAGAGATAAAAACAAGCTAAAGCAAGGCAGGGGGGGTAAGGGGGTCAAAGGAGCTTCCTATTTTTGAATGTGATTCTAGGCAAAGCCTAAATCACACATGATTGGAGACCTGAATGCAAGTTGGTATTGGAGTGAGGGAGATACCTATACAAGAGGCATCCTGGGCAAGAGTGGTCAGCAAGTATGAAGACCCTGTAGTTGGAACTTGCTGTGAACTGTTAGGAGAGGAAGGAGCCCAGTAAGTTTGATGGTTTGCTTTCTCTAAGCTCTTATTAGTTGGAGACAAAGGGGGTGCTTGGGACAAATATTAAAGTATGATAGTATATTTTATCCAACATTGTTTATCTTAGGTGCCATTAATTATTGTTGATGAATTCGAATTCAGATTTAAATGCAAAACAAAGTGAGACACCTTACTTCGAAATCATGTTTCAATTAGCTATGCTAATAGTGGGTGGAAGATGATGAAAATGTTCCTGGTGCAAATTCTTCTTTGTGTTGTCTCTTTTTATAGTCACTGCTGTTGCTTTCTATGTTAAGCTAGAGGTTTCTTGTAACATTTCTGTGTTTTATTAAATTACTGTGCACTGATGACAAGCGCTGAGTGGTGTGATCCCAAGATGGCGCTAGAGAGTGGAGATGTTTAGATGGAGAAGTAGAGGACCGGAAGCCAAGGGACATACTAAGGAAAAGTGGAGTGCTTGGTGGAGCAGGTGCTAAGGGTGTACTGCTTGTGCTTTGGGAAATGGGAAGCAGAGGGGTTCCAAGTATGTGGTCCTCAGCTGTCCAAGGAAGCAGCAACTCCTCAAGGATAGGGTAGAATTAAAAGATAAAGAGGTTTCTCCATGAGCAGTATAGCAGAATAGCTATACTCATAAGATGGGGGAACTGAGCTACCCCAAAAGAAAGATGGATTCCTAGCTGAGCAAGATTCATAACCTGCCCCAAAGGGGTTCTGTGGACTCATTAGAGAAATGTCATTAATGATCAGCAAAGAAATGGATCTACCAATATGGAGTGCTTGAGAGTGAGTTTAATGTATGTGCCAATTGATTGCTCAAATTTAATGTATATGCCTAGTAATTGCTCAAATACATATTACTCTGGCCTTTCTGTGTTCTCACACCTTTATTCAATCTTGTTTAAATGCAAACATATTGACTTGAAACCTTTTCCAATGATACAGTGTGCTCTTAGCACAAAATACAAGTTCAGCATATATTTGTTGATTTTCTGAGCTTCATTTTATAGATCAATTAAGGAAATATCATGGTTGTCATTGGCATTGTAATGAAATGACCTAATTGTAACCACTTCATTTCTCTCCTCCTTTGGCTTTTTATTTGTGTCCTTTTCTGACTTTTGGTTTATTAATTTGAGTATCCATTTTTGAATGTTACCAAATTTATTCAACAGAAGGGATATGATATGAAATAAAGAAAAAATGTATGTCTCTTTTGAGTTATGTATTAATACATTTCTCTCCTGCACACCAGATCTGCTTACTCTCTAGTTCCACAAAAGAGTTCTTAAGATTTTAATGACTGTTAAACATCCTCTTCTTCCTATAGGTGGAATGGCTGAAAAATGAGGAACCCATTGACTCTGAGCAAGATGAGAACATTGATACCCGAGCTGACCACAACCTGATCATCAGGCAGGCACGACTCTCAGACTCAGGGAATTACACCTGCATGGCAGCTAACATAGTGGCCAAGAGAAGGAGCCTATCTGCCACTGTTGTGGTCTATGGTAAGATCAACCCAGAGGTCAGGAGTAAAGAAGGAGGGAGGAAAGCAGAGATGTAGAGGGTTGTGTTTTGTTAAAATGCTCCACAAAGACACCAAGGATAGCCCAATACAGTACTTTCCTACTTCTCCACTGGGCATACAAGAAAATATCTGTCTGGTATAAATGTGTTGCTCAACTATTCAAAACTGAATTTCTGTGAGATTGTCCATGACATTTACATTCTCTTTTCAAAAGATAATAGAACGTTGTTTGTTTTCTTCCATTGTGTTTACACTTGAAAAGCATTGAAGTGGGTAACTTCTGCTTACAACTTCTCTCAACCCAGCACATACCCTCCCCCATCTTCCTGGGCCTGTTGCTACCCTGTTCCTCTCCCAACATATGAAACCCACCCGACACAAACATTATTATTTGCTGTCTATCTCAGGCATTATATAAAAGAAGTTCCCAGCCATTTTAGTAAATACATTTCTTTCCATAATAGAAGAGCCCTGGGATTTATTTTTTAAGCACTTAAAAGTAATAGAAATTTGAATGCTGATATTTTCTTCTTATACTCTGGATTTTCAAGTGCTTTAGAGATCTGCTGATGAGTTCTTCCCTGTTTTTAATAATTTCCTGGCAAGGCAAACTCTCTAGGTCCTTCCTGTCACAGAGGAGGAAACTGAGATGAGGCTCACTGTTGCTTCAAGACAAAGCAGTCCTCATGACGAGACTGTGTTCCATTAGTTCCTGAATGTTCGACTCACAACACCTGGCACAGTGGCTTGCACATAGTAGGCAATCAGTAAAAACCTCTCTCCTTTTTTTTTCTCCCCTCCCCATTTTTGTCTCTCAGTGAATGGAGGCTGGTCTTCCTGGACAGAGTGGTCAGCCTGCAATGTTCGCTGTGGTAGAGGATGGCAGAAACGTTCCCGGACCTGCACCAACCCAGCTCCTCTCAATGGTGGGGCCTTTTGTGAGGGAATGTCAGTGCAGAAAATAACCTGCACTTCTCTTTGTCCTGGTGAGATATTACACAGATTCCCTTCTCCTTGTGATCCACCAACACTGTTAAGCTGGTGCGAATCAATCTATATCACCTTCCTTTCCAAACTCATACTGGTCCAAATTCTGAGACCCCGAGCCTCTGTCCAAGGTGCTGATATGGAAATCGTGGTAACAGTAATGACTTGATGAAATACCTCTGCACAATATTTCTCACAGCTGCTTGTGGTTGAGCTAAGCCAGCCCCTTCTTTCCAAGGGTTATCTTGTTTTGTGGCATGTATTTGCATAGAGTAAACAAAGATTGGGTGTATGATCCTCAGTCATATAAGGACAGATACAAAACTTGACCCTGCATCACCTTTAGTTTTGTCTTTATTTACAATACAACTGGCAGAGACTGCATGCTGGTGCAGCGGTGTGTATTATACATTTGGCCTATGTTTGGCTTTCTTTCTGAGTAGTCAGAGACTTCATTTAGCAAATATGTCTTGTATCAGTTCTTTTGTTCATCTCCTTCTGGCTATAACCCAATTTATACAATGAGAAACAGATGAGATGGAAGATGGCTTTCTTTATGGAAAGCATATCCTCCCACTGAGAAATAAATTGATCCTGCATCTTACATTAACTTTACATGCACTGGACCAGATCCTCATTTCTGTAAATTTCAAATATAGTTTCACTCAAAGCTAAGGTGAGGCTCTGGCCAACAGTGTATTTTTGGAGTTTCATTTTGGATCATAGTCCATAGACATTTATTGAGTGCTTACTATGTGCAAGGTACTATGCAGGATGCTTTCAAACAAAACATACCATTTAATTCTGAGTTGTGAGTTTATTGTCCCCACTTGGTACAAATGGGGAAAATGAGGCCATATGACTTACCCAGGTTGCTCATCTAATAACCAGGACAAAGATCTAGGCGTTTTGCTTCGAGTTCATTCTATTTTTTATATGACCTAGGTCCTAATTGCTTTAGTTTGAAATTGCAGTATCTTAACCCATATAATCATTGTGAGACTATTCCTAGGAGGTAATGGGGCAATTGCCTCAAACATCTGCCCAGATCTCTAGGGTTGATTTTTAATGGAATTAAATTCAGTTTGTTCATTTACACATACAGCAACAATCTGTGATCCAAGAAATTCTATTTATGTAGGTCCTGCCATCTTGAGGTTTGACTGACCTGTTTTAGTTTAACACTAGTAGTATTTGGAAATCAACATTTTGCTAGTTAGGGTCTTTGGGGCTTTTAGATAGCTTATTCTACCCTCTGTTCTAAACTGTCAGTCTACATGGCAGTGGCTGGTCACTGGTGGTTACTGCAGACAGTTTATATGTCCATTGAAGTGGCACTTGGGCACTAAACAACAGGGAAAGAATGGATAATGGTATCATTAGCCAACCCAGTGGTAGTAGTCATTCAAATGCTCACCTAAATACAGTAATCAATCCCATCCTAGAATAGCCAGAAAAGCACACCACTGCTTTTATTAGAAAAGAAACCAGGGGGAGAAGATACCTTGATCTATAGTTTGGGTTTTTGTTGTATTGGTGATTTCTTTAAAATCCAAATCAGGACAGCAACATTCCAGTGTGTCTCCTGACAGACTCTAGATTCTTGCTGATGGTGGTCTCTGTTGTTTCCCTTTGAAGTGGATGGGAGCTGGGAAGTATGGAGCGAGTGGTCAGTCTGCAGTCCTGAGTGTGAGCACCTTCGGATCCGGGAGTGCACAGCTCCACCTCCAAGAAATGGGGGCAAATTCTGCGAAGGTCTCAGCCAGGAATCTGAAAACTGCACCGATGGTCTCTGCATTCTAGGTAACAGCTGCTGATTAACATCTTCAGTGTTTGTGTGTGATGCTCATATATTCATATACGTCAAGAAAGAGTGGCCCAGCAGTTAATTGAGGGTAAATATGCAAACAGGAAGACCTATCATTTGTAGGAAAATGGAAACATAGGAAGTGTTAAAAAATAAACAAAGACAATTTTATTAAAGTTTGAGTGACTTTAACTATTTTATTTCACTCTAATCAGATGATGTTATAAGATAATTTCAGAACATATTTTAAGTAATTTATTCATTGTATTTATGTGGTACCAAAGAATCAAACCCAGGATCTCATGCATGCTAAGCAAGCACTGTACCACTAACCTCAGAACATATTTAAGACTTGTAAAAGCTACCACTTTAAAATTTGTTGAAACATTGGTATGATCATTATAGACTTACATATCTCCCAAGAACTATGCAGCAGTATCAAGAGTTTAATAAATCTGAAGAAACCAAGAATCTTTGGCAAGTAATAGCATTGCAACTGCATCTGACAAATGGTGAAGGGAAGAGGGAGTTCCACCTAGGGAGTTCCAAGTAGGAGCTTTGACTCATGTTGGTCCTGGGGAGTAGGAAACTCTTTAGTTCTAAGGTCACACTCATACTGTCCATGTGACTGTGTGTGTCTGGATTAGAAGGTCTAGAAGGATCAAGAAGAGATAGTTTTCAGCTTGATGCTATCTCTTCTTTGGGTTGCGACTTTGTCTAATTTGCTTACTTTCTTTGACTCCAAGTATCAAAACCATGATGGCTGCTTGCAGTTTTAATGAAAGCTAAAAAATAAAAGAACATATCTCTTTTACTTGTGGAAAGGAAAAAAAAATACTCATTCGTTCTTTATGAGTATGAATGTCTCTACCCACTCTCCCACTTTGAGAAGATAGGTTGTATTGTTTTTGCTTGAATTCTTAAAAAAATAACAAGACTTGGGTTGGGTAGAGTAGAATGTATAGTACACTACCTGCCTCGCAAATGCAAGACCCCCAGCTGTGTCAAAAGATGAGGCCGGAGACATCCAAATTCCTTAAATCTAGACTCCCTTTAAAATGAGTTGCTTAGGTAATATTCAGCAAACTATGCTATTCAAGGTCTCTATAAGAAATCGTGTTGCTTTTTAAAGAAGATGACAATTGTGCTGGGTTTACTTTTCTGCATTTGTATGAGGGGGACTTTTTTTTTTTTGGAAATTTACATTCTTTTATTTATTTTCTTTTCTTTCCTTGTAAAGATGCTGTACAAAGTGCCTGGGCACTCTTAAAGGCAAGCACATGCTCACTACACGGATGCTTTCAGAAAAAATCTTTGTGGTACATTCATTGTTCAAAATATTTAGTGCATTGAAACAAGCACTCATGAATAGGTCCTAGTTCTTTGCTGAATACCTGCATATGCCAGACCCCAATTCAGGGGTCTAAAACAGAAGACAATGTAGCTCCCAGGGTCAATGACAAAAGAACAGTGCTTATGTTTGTCACTAAGTCACGTCTGCCATATGCCTTCTCCAAAGTGCTTCTCTCCTCTCTGTTTTGCAAATGGAAGGAAACTGAACCTATACTCAATAGCAAGACACTTAATGAAATGGGTTTCTGACAACTCTTTAATACCAACAAAATTTTTCCTGAAATGTACCTCTGAGATATGACAGTTTTTTTTTAACATTGTAGCCATGTTATAAAATTGATGCAGTTAGAACTGAAAATTTCATGTCTTCTCAAAGAGATGACAGTATGACTATTTGGTTGCTGGTCGAATTTTAGATCATCATAGTAATAACCTTTGCTATCAACTTGTACTTAGGATAAATCTGTGGATATCTGACTTCAACCTTAATTGACAAAGGCTTAGTCAGAGAATCACTGGTTACAGACAAACAGTGGTTAGCTGTCATGTAAGAAAGGATGGTCATCAAATGCTTGAGGATTATTTAGTTGTAGTTTTGATATGATGTAAGAGTAAGAGCCCTGTTTAGGGTTGAAGGAAATTAGTAACAATAAAAATGTATTGACAAGGGGTTGGGAAGGTGGCTCCATGGTAGAGTGCTTGCCTTGCATGCATGAGGCCCTGGGTTCGATTCCTCAGCACCACATAAACAAAAAGAAAAAAAAGCAGGAAGTGGCACTGTGGCTCAAGTGGTAGAGTGCTAACCTTGAGCTGAAGAGCTGAAGGACAGCGCCCAGGCCCAGAGTTCAGACTCCATGACCGGACCCCCCCCCCCAAAAAAAATGTATTGCCAGGTATAAATTCCATTCTAAACTCTGAGATGATGTACTAGTCAGGGTTTTCAAGATAAAGAGAACCCAAAGGAATATAGAAAGAAGGATTAAAACTGGCTCACACAATTAGAAAACTTGTTGAGTCTAGACCTGCCGAGAAAATGTCTTAATGCAAGTCCAAGACTTCTTGAGAACCATGAAGACTTGATATACAAGATCAAAGTTCAACTGTCAAGAAAAGGTGATATTTCAGTGGAACAACTTTACGTACAATAGTTCTTTCTTATTTAGGGAAGGGTCAGCTTTTTGTTTTTTCCAGGCCTTCAACTGATTAAATGAGGCCCACTTACAATATAGTGTTCAATCTACTCTACCCATTCTGCTTTTTTAATTGTTAATATTATCTGGCTCTGATGGCTCAAGCTTCTAATCCTAACTATTTAGGAGACTGAGATCTAATGATCTAGGTTTGAAGTCAGCCTGGGCAAACAGATCTGCCAGACTCTTATCTCAAATTAACCAGTGTAAAGCCAACACAGGACACATGGCTCAAAGTGGCAGAGTACCAGCCATGAGCACAAAGGCCAAGGGAGAAAGTGAGGACTCGAGTTCAAGCCCAGTACTAGCACGCACAAAAAATGTTACTCTTACTCAATAACAACCGAAGCCATGAGCACTCCATGCTTCAGTCAAGATGACACAGATTACCCATCATAGATTCATCTGTACTAGCGAAGTTCAAAAGGCCACACAGAGTCCAGAGTTCAGGTAGTGGCTTTAAGTACACTGTTGTACTGAACATTGGCTATGTGTGCTTTTAGTCACACATAATTAGATTCTTGAACATGTCAATGTATGAGTATAATGCATCTTGCTCAATGTTATCACTGTGTAATCATTCTCTTTGATTTCTCTCAACCCCACCCATCCCCTCAGGATCTCTGGATCTCAGGATCTCTTCCCTTCCTATGCAATGAAAATGCAATGTGAACATTTATTTCTATTCATCTATTCATTTCTTCCATTTGCTTTTACACTTAGGCAATGGTTTGGTATAACCTTTGTCTGCTTATAATATACATTTCAGGGTTGCCAGGAAATATGAGCATGACTAAAGACTAAACTTTTTTGAGAGAGAAAAAGTTAAGTCTATGAAATCATAGAGGTGAATGGAAAATATGTATCAGTTTATACATATGTTTATAATGTTTATAATGCCAGGATATATTCCATCTTTCTAGTCAGAAAAATGGCTACCAATGTGTCCAAACCAAGTACCATTTCACTGTCTACAAAGGAAGCAGTGAGCAACAATCCAGTAAAATAATGCCAGTGTGCTCTGTTTCTTGCCAGTACTGGACAGAGTGCTTTGGGTGAAATACTGTGCTCTTGGGAGAGCTCCAATGAAGGAGTCTTTGATTAAAAATAGCATTTGGCAAAAGCTTTATAGAGCAGTAGCATTGCTGAAGGATCTAGGTCATGTTACAATTTGGGAATTTCCTTCATCCTAATTTTTTCTCCTTTCTGCCAAACATGACCCTACAGCAATTCCTCTGTTCCTACTTTCTCTTAGAAGTTTGACAGTGACCTTGCTCAGCTCTCAGATGACCTATAACGCTGTGGTTTTATTTAGCCTTCAACAAAAACATCTGGAGGGATGTCCTTTACTTCAAGTTGAAGCTGCCAACTCTGAATGATGACTTTAATATTTGGGTGTGATTGTTACTTGGTCACTTGTGACTGAGCTCAGAACCTCAGTGAGATGCCATCATAGATAGCAGCTACATCTAAATGCTCTCAACTAGAAAATAAATGCACCAAGACTGAGGAAAACTAAGATGAGACTTTTTTTTTTAAATCTTACTGAGAGCAGTCAGGCTATGGATGCAGACTTCACAAAGAAACAAAACATCCAAGGCCATGATGCTTGAACAAGAAAGATAATTGTGGACATTACTGTCAAGAAAACAAGAACTTGTGCATCTGTGTTTTCTGAGTTCAAATACTTGAATCTGGGAGATATCTGACCACAATCCTTTCACCTGACTAAACCTAACAGCTGCTGTGCTATGAGAATCACAGCCAGGGTTAAAGAATATATGTATGCCTTGTGGACAGGGAAAGAAAGGTGAAGACCGCAGGGGTTTAGTTTGATCTTGGGGAATAAGGAGTAGAAGATGCCTTCTCCCTTCTCTTTATTCCTGTAGAAAGAAAACTGAGGGCTTTAGTTTGAGCAGATGAAATGGATCTGCTTCAGAAGGGATTAGTGCAGAAGCCTGTGGTGTGACTAAAGCCAGAGAAATGCCAAGGGGGCTTGAACAACGGGAAATCTTCAAGGCTGAGCTACCTGAGAGCTAATATGTCCTTCTTGCCAAGAAATAGCATAGGTCAGTCCAGCACTGACAAGGAAGTAACTGAAATATCAGTGAAATGGGGATTTGTTTTCATTTCTAATGGGCACGTTGATAAGAAAAGTTTGAATTAACACATCAAGAGTAATGCCATCTGTACAATAGCAGGTTCAAATAAGCACCCCTATGCTATATCTAGTAATGTATCCACATTGTCTATTGAGCATCTAAAGTGACCCAGTGAAATCACCTGAAAAGATGACCCTGCACATGAAGATAATGGTTGCTTCGATAGGCATTTTCTTTCTGATCATTCTTAAGTCTTGTTGTTATCTGTTACAGTAACTACCAGAGTCTCTTCTTCAGATTTCTTGGGGAATGAGTAGAAACACTTAGATCATCTGAAACAATTCTTATCAG